TGGACATCCGCCCGCATCGACAGGCGGTGGGGAGAGCCGATAGATGGAGGAAGAGGATGGGAAGGAGGATCGGAGGGGGACGAGGAAGAAGACACAGAAGACACGACAGACCGGGTAGAAGGAAGGGGAACCTCAGACAGAGGACCAGGAGGAGGATCCTTCGGGAGAGAACCCAAAGGAACAGAGGAGGGGGCAGTGGGCGCATCAGGGTCCAAGGCCCGGAAACGGTTGAGAGTCTGAGGAAGGCGGGAAGGACGAGGAGAGGAAGAGCGCAACACGCGAGCATAAGAGATATTAGCATAAGGTGGGAGCCGGCGAACCTGGCGCCTCGCCTCAGGAAAAGATAAACGCTCCCGGTGCTTCAGGTTGAGGACGGCTGCCTCAAGCTTGTAATGGACACACGCACGGGAGAAGGTAGGATGGGCCTCACCGCAGTTGAGGCAACGAGCCTGGGGAGAAGTGCACTCCGACTTAGAGTGACCTTCGCCACCACACAAAGGACAGAGAGAGACAGTCTCGGAGCAGCGGAGGGCACCATGCCCAAACCTCCAGCACTTGTTGCAGAGCCGAGGAGAAGGAATGTACTCCTGGACAGAGCACCTGGCACCAGCAAGAATGACAGAGGGTGGAAGGGTCCTACCATCAAAGGTAATCTTCACAACCCGGAGGGGTTGACGGCGACTACCACGAGGGGGACGAGTAAACGTGTCCACCTGGAGAATAGAATGGCCCTGGGCAGCGAGGATATGTCGAATATCGTCGTGGCAGTCGCGCAGGTCCCGAACACCGGTTGCAACATGGGGTGGGAGCAAAATAGTGCCAACACTGGCATTCAACTGAGCGTTCTTCGAGACCCGAACGGGGGTCTCGCCAAGGCAGGATAAGGCAGCCAAGCGGGAAGCAGCATCCTGAGAAGGAGCAGCAACGACACGTGTACCGAGACGAGTGGGGTTGAAAGTAATGGAGGCATTCACGGAATCAATGAGATGTCGATGGAGGGAGAAATCGTCGGGAGGCGCAGAATCAAGAGGGAGGAGATCAAAATATTTGGCCCACGAAGCGGAACCAAACAAGGCTTGATAGGTAGCAGAACTGGAAGGAATCGAGCGAGGGCGGCCGTGACGAGGACGGCGGTGAGAACCCCCAGAGAGAGAGGGGTTAAAAGGCGCAGTAGTTACAACTAGAGAAGGAGCCGCGCCAGGGGACGAGGTAGTCACCACTGGGGGCTTGGGGCTCGACCCAACCACAGAGGAGGGAGGGGAGCCAGGGGAAGGAGTCAGAGGCCAAAGGAGGAGCAAGGTCGGGGCCCAATGCAGCGGAGGCTACAGAGCCCGGTCTTCCAATACGGACCGACTCGGGGGCTTGGTCGCCCACCCCACGAGCCTGAGAAGGTAAGCCAGAAGCAGCCGAAACAGGGGTTATCATCTTGACGAAAAGAAGAATTCATTCACGAATGTGCCCCCACACCCACCATGGAGCCACAATTAGAGGCAGGACACCCAACAAGAAGCTATCGCCGATCTTGTTGGGGCCTCCTAGGGGTGCGTCGTGAGTATACGCCCCACAAACGCCACTTTAAGAAACCGACAGTCCGTCGAGAACGGGTTCAGCGACGAAAGGGGGATTGACAATAAAAGGTTCCCCTCGCTCTCGACGTCGGGTACTACAGTTCTACGGGTGCAAGAGTATGCCTCCTCAAGCACCCGGGCGTCAAAATAGAAGAAGTCCAAGGGAAGAACCAGAACGAGCAAAAGGTCGGCAGGAAACGGCAAGCAGATAGGAGAAGAGGGGGGAGAAAAACGAAACAGAAGGAAAAGGAAAAGATGCCCAGCAGAATTGGAGAGGACGGCAGCAGGAGCACAAGGCTAGAAAAGGACAGAGGACTGTCCCAAGGAGCATCATACTCCGGCAGCCGCCCACGAAGCCCCCACACGGTGACAACGAGCTGAGCGGGGAGGGGGTTAAGACCTTAAACCAGATTGGTTATTACTGAAATTACTGTATTTATTGAATTATTCATCACTTGTTGAATTAATACCAGGGACGCAGCTATTTTGTTTTTTCCTTGTTAATTCTTTAATCCCCAGCCATTGACCCTCTTTCGGCTCGTCAAGAATACCCTCAGATCTCAAGTTCGTAAAACCACGTGGAACAATTTAACCCCCTATGATCTGAGATCTATAATTTCTTAAACCAAGCTTAGCTTGTTACATTAAAACAGGATGTGTTGAGATTTATTACAACAGGATTTGTCGAGTTTTATTACAACAGGATATTTTGAGTTTTATTAAAAGAAGATATGACGAGTTTTATTACAACAGGATGATTGTACAGACCAATATTATCAAAAATATTTGAAAAATTATTTACAAACAGCTCTACTCCTACCTCGTAAAATTCAACATATTAAGTCCCTGTCAGTTTGGCTTCTACTCCCAAAAGAGTACCAATGATGCAAATTATTAGTCTGCTTGACTTAATCTACTCAGCTCTTGACAAAAATGAGTTTCCGATTGGACTCTTCATTGACCTGAGAAAGGCCTTTGATACTGTTAACCATAACTACCTCTTACTTAAACTCCACCATTATGGAATCCGAGGCCTTGTCCTGAACTATATCCGAACCTATCTTAGTGACAGACACCAATATGTAGCCATCAATGATATACCCTCTCCTGCTTTACCATTAACCATAGGAGTGCCACAGGACAGCATCCTAGGACCTCTCCTATTTCTTATATACATCAATGCTCTGCCTAATGTCTCTAACATTCTTAAAAATATATTATTTGCTAACGATACTACCCTCATCAACTCTGACCTCAACCCACACTCATTAAATAATGTTGTACATAATGAGTAAAAAAACAGCGTTAAATGTAATGAAATGCCATTTTCTGGGCGAGACCCGGAGGCTCCCCGGAGCTTATTCAGGTTGATATGGATATACTAGACTTTGGCATCAGTCAGTGTGAATGGAGTTCTTAGGCCTGCCAGGGACCATGAGCCGGAACCTAGCCTCCCCAGAGAGGCACGAGGAGCAATGGCCCAGAGGAGCAATGGCCTATAGGAGCAATGGCACATGTGATTTGGAGCATTCTATGTCTGCCATCGACCGGGTCAGGCACCCAGAAAGGTAAGCATCCCAAAACAAAACTATTGTGGTTGAAATTACCACTAAAAGTCAAACGAGTGGACAGAACTCCCCAAAGGAAAACAAACAAATGAGTATGATGTCACCACGTTACTGCACCGCCGTCTGTGCAGTCTTTCCTTGACCCCTCCCGGGGAGGGGGAGCCCCAGACTCCTGACGTCTGCTACCCACACCCCAGTTCTGAGGCTGGATGTCAAAAACACACGAATAAACGCTAACCAGAGGGAGGGAAGGATGCCGGGAAGCCTCTGGGTTTCACCCAGAAAATGGTGTTTCATTACATTCAACCCTGGTTTTCTGGGGAAAGCCCCTTCGGCTCCCTAGAGCTGCTTATCAAAAGAAGAAAGCAATAGGGACTTACCAGGGAGGCGGTCGGCACTCATCCCTCAATGCGAAGTCTAGACAACTGGCTGCAACCGCCGACCTAAAGCGATACAGGCCCGACTAGGCCACGGAACATTGACCATGTAGCGTGCAGCCAGCACCCTGTTCCACTGCCAAAAACCCCGCTCCCAAATGTCAGCCCATGACATGTTACCGAAGACGGCAGCAAGAGCAGCAAACTTGAATGAATGTCATGAAACCCATGAATGTCATGGGTACGGGGGTAGACCACAGGCTGGCTTGAACGAATAACCCTGCTGACGACCTGGGAGACCCGAACCCTGGAACAGGGAAGAAGGGAAACTGGATGAACCCAAAGCACATCCCCAGACACAGAAGCCGTGGCGTGCAAATAACGGCGAAAAGCTGCAACCGGACACAACACATGATGCACCCCCGACCTGACCAACCAAGCATCAACAACCCAAAGGACCTCTCCGGAAAGCAGCCGTCTCATTCTTTGCAAGAAAAGAAGGAGACGGCTGCAAATGAACAAACCTATCAGCAGAGCCAAAAGAGCAGAAACCACTGCGCCAGAGAAGAGCATGAAGCTCCCCGACCCGACCCCCAGAGGCCAATGCCAACAGAAAAAGAGCCTTGGAGAGACAATCCTAAACAGGGGAAGAGAGATAAGAGAGCACCCTGTCCAACAACCAGGACGGCTCAGGCAGCGCATGAGCAGGCCGCAGGTGAAACAACACCCCGAGACAGCTTGTGAAACGGCGCAGAAGTAACCTCTATGCCATAAGCAAGCTGTAGTGTGTCCGCCAGCACCGCACGATATAAGACGGCAGTATTCCTCATAAGATGACAGTCCTGCAACAGCGATAAGAGAAAGGACAAGACCACCTTTACAGAAAGCGAAGTATACCTACGAAGCTACGAAGAGACACCTGGTAGCAAGTGTCTCAGACTCCCGCCTTCCGCTGCAGGGGCGCCTGACGTTATGCTACGTCACGGCCGAAGTACGACGCCATTGGTCATCGTAGCCAAGCCCCAGCCGCCGACCAATCATGCCACGCCTAGTGCCATACCCAGAATGCACCTGTGAATGCCTCCCCCCTCGGTTTACTCCACCATAATTGATGACGGTCTCGTCTCATAGCCTCAGCCCAAATAAACTTAAAATTGAATTTCTTCACACTGCAACATTATGCTTCCTCTCAAGTGTCATAAAATCAACCACGACTTCTTATAGATATGTACAAACAGGGAATAATGACTCTTATATGCAGGAATAGGGAAAACCAGGCAGAATTCCGTAACAGTGGCTAGAAATGATGATCTCTTTGAGACATTCTGCATTCAGGGTGAAATAATTTGTATCCCTTAATTTTATATTCAGCTAATAGTTAATGCAATAATATATACAGTTTCTGTGCACGTAAGTGCATTTATATAATCTATTTTACTTATAATACTCTTCCTCTTTACCAACATAAATGACATTAAATAACTCACTCTTCACATTAAGTTTCCATTCCCTCTTGTCGCGGTCTGTGAGGAGATGACCATTGAGCTTCCACTGTAAAGCCCCAGCGGCGAGCACCTTAATGCTTCGACAGCGGAAGGTGAGGTTGTCGCCCTCCAAGACCTGCAGGTTCTGGTGGGGCTGCGACTCTCCGTTCACCTCCGCCTCCAGGGACACTGGAGATGTACTCTGGTGTACATATTCACCATCTGCACAACGAAACAATATTGACCTTACAAACTTTTGTACATTTACTACTAATATTTATTTTGTAAGAATGCTTTATAATTTTATTCATCCTTAATTTTACATAATAAAGCAGCATTAATAATGGTTGGAGCATATTCAGGAAGTAGGAAATAAAGCATTGAGTGTCTCACCAGTAACGATGAAGCTGAGGGCTGGAGAGGTAGAGTTGCCGAGCTCGTTGTCGGCCACACACCTGCACCAGGTCACCAAGAATTAAGCTTTAGTTGTTACTTATATCTAAATATATGTTATTCATATTCCAAATTTCAGTGCCTTGTTTACTTATTCATGAATTGTTATGAAAACTGTTTTGAATATTCGCCTGCATCCAGAGACACGTGTGTTCATGTTAACATCAACTATACACTTACCTACAACCCCCACATGTACATGTTCCAGCCACTACCATACACATCCGTCCACATATCATCATGTGCGCATCCACCTTAATGTGTGCACATATTCTAGTCCATACTTTACTATTCACATAAACATGAATATACGTTACATCTATTGTCAATTACTCACACACAACTACTTGTGAATATATGAAAAAATATTATGGCAATGGATGGGTTTGCACCCGCTTTTCTACCCTTCCCAGAGACACGCACTACCAACTGGGCCGTGATGAGCTTAAAACGTTTCTCGAGCACAAGTTCCACTAGACCTGCGGGGGAGCTTCTATGGCTTGTGCTCCTACGTGCAATCCCAGTTTTTACCAGATACCCGCCCACACGCAGGTGTAGGTAGTGATGGTTACCCACCATACCCGCCCACACGCAGGTGTAGGTAGTGATGTTACCCACCATACCCGCCCACACGCAGGTGTAGGGAGTGATGTTACCCACCATACCCGCCCACACGCAGGTGTAGGGAGTGATGTTACCCACCATACCCACCCACACGCAGGTGTAGGGAGTGATGTTACCCATCATACCCACCCACACGCAGGTGTAGGGAGTGATGTTACCCACCATACCCACCCACACGCAGGTGTAGGTAGTGATGTTACCCACCATACCCGCCCACACGCAGGTGTAGGTAGTGATGTTACCCACCATACCCGCCCACACACAAATGTATTTTTTTCAGGGAAATTCCTGCGTGGACCGAAGTCTATGGCTGGCCCGCTAAGTGTTGCTTGTTTCTGTTTTACTTAGGCGGAATGCGAGTATTTATGACTCGTATGGTCGCTTCAATACGATTTTGCCCCTGTGTGTTTAACAACTTCTCCAGCTCTGTTGAATCTAAGTTGAAATCTTAATGAGTTTGTAACTGTGCACTGTGTTAGATAATGTTCCAGTGGTCTGTTGTGGATGTAACTGTGCACTGTGTTAGTTAATGTTCCAGTGGTCTGTCAGGCATTTCTCCACAGTGCTGACATCTCCTTTCATATTCTGGAACCTGTAATCTTATTTCCCATTGACATGTTTATCCAAGCCTGGTGCTATGTAAGTGTCCTTCTGTTGTTCTACTGTTCTCTTTCATCAAAATAAGTGGTTCGTAGTTCATAGAATTCTTGTACCAACCCGCAGACCCTGATGTTGCAACTGCTGTGTTGTGGTCACTGTACATCTTCTGCATTGCTCTATTTCTAATTACTTTCTTAATCTGTGATAGACTCTGTGGTATTTAAATGTCTACATTTCTTCTCTTAGTTGCAAGTTTTGCAGCTTTGTGTGCAATGTCATTTCCTATTATTCCCACATGACTTGGCATCCAGTTGATAAGTACCCGACAACCTTGATGTTTGAGTTTTTGCATTAATGATATGACGTTTGTTATCAGATGGATGTTGTCACGGATGTGTTCTTGTTGCAAGGTTTCAATGGCAGTTCTTGAATCTGTATTTATGATAACATGTTCTTGGTGTTCAGCAAGAGCATGTTCAAAAGCAGAAGGGCTATTGGCCCATACAAGGCAGCTCCTATCTATCTATAACCACCCACTCCCACTCATATGCATGTCCAACCCGCGCTTGAAACAATCGAGGGACCCCACCTCCACCACGTTACACGGTAATTAGTTCCACAAATCAACAACCCTGTTACCAAACCAGTATTTACCGAAGTCTTTCCTAAATCTAAATTTATCCAATTTATACCCATTGTTTCGTGTTCTGTCTTGTGTTGATACTTTTAATACCCTATTAATATCCCCATATAATATTGTGTAACCCAATGACGGTTAATGTCTTGAATGTCAAGTGTAGAAATTGAAGTTACCCGCCCACATGCAGGTGTGTAGTGATGTTACCCACCATACCCACCCACACTCAGGTGTAGGTAGTGATGATACCCACCATACCCGCCCACACGCAGGTGTAGGTAGTGATGTTACCCACCATACCCGCCCACACGCAGGTGTAGGTAGTGATGTTACCCACCATACCCGCCCACACGCAGGTGTAGGTAGTGATGTTACCCACCATACCCACCCACATGCAGGTGTGTAGTGATGTTACCCACCATACCCGCCCACACTCAGGTGTAGGTAGTGATGATACCCACCATACCCACCCACACTCAGGTGTAGGTAGTGATGATACCCACCATACCCACCCACACGCAGGTGTAGGTAGTGATGATACCCACCATACCCACCCACACGCAGGTGTAGGTAGTGATGTTACCAACCAACATTCATCGTATGTTGTGTCACTGAAGATTAACGTCTTCTTGGATTGGTTAATTATGCAAACGGTCCTCCTAATTCGCCTTGTTGATCAGAAGGTTCCTTTATGGAACAATTAGGATATTTATTGTCATAATATTTGTGCCAGGCCGCACTTCAAGGAGATTATATATGTGTGTGTGTGTGTCTGTGTCTGTGTGTGAATATGTATTTCACCTAGTTCACCTAGTTGTGCTTGCGGGGGTTGAGCTCTGCTCTTTCGGCCCGACTCTCAACTGTCAATCAACTGTTACTAACTACTATTTTTGTTGTTGTTATTTTCGTTGTAAATGTTATTAACTTCAACCACTTTCCGTTATGCCTCTATTCAACCTGTAACATTCCTAGAGCCATGAGGAAGCCTTTAGTAATAATACATTAGTCACTGAGTAAAGAAGGTTCAATATTGAAGACATTAGGGATCATAGCCTTATAAATTATATAAGAGCTACTGTTGGAGTGTTGGATGTTCTAGAAGTCAATTCCTTTGGCACTGGACGCAAAAGTGACAATCCTGATTATCTTGTGGACCAACAGTGTAGCGAGTAAACATTATACTCGCTCCATCTCTCAATCTTAATGGCATAACTAATTTGCACTAAATGTTACGTTGTTGGGTAGATTAGATTTATAGTGTTTAGTGAGTTACATATTTATTTAGTAGTCTTGATTACAGTAATCGGTTGTTGGCAGTGTCGTAGACGTTCAGACGGAGCTTGGAGCAGAGCAGAGAGCTGAGTGAGGCCAGAGTCGCGGAGCTCTATGTGGGAGAGTGTGGCGGCTCGATGGGGGATCGTGAGTGTGTGAACTCATGGGGGAGCGAAAACATTGTAGCTTACCTTGAGGTTACCTTGAGGTGCTTCCGGGGCTTAGTGTCCCCACGGCCCGGTCGTCGACCAGGCCTCCTGATGCGGTCCTTGTCTGGTGTCTGCTCTGTGTCGAAGCTTGTAGCGTCTTGGGTTGATTAGAACTGTACACGCCGAGTGCTACATTCTTGCAGTTGAAGAGGTGAGGTAAATCCAAAGTGTCTATACTGGAGTTATCTGAATCACTGTGGAAATTGTACTGTTGGCTATTTGTTGTTGTTATAGATTCAGCTATACGAAGCAAGTTCCAAGTAGCACGGGCTATGGTGAGCCCGTAACTTACCTGGCACAGGAGCGGGTCAAGTAACACGGACCACGGTGACCCCGTAGTGGACTTACCTGGCACAAGAGCGGTGCTGTCTTGCGTGTTGGCTATTCTGATTGATGATTGATGAAGATTAAGCCACCCAAGAGGTGGCACGGGCATGAATAGCCCGTAAGTGGTGGCCCTTTCGAGCCATTACCAGTATCAAAAGATGATACTGGAGATCTGTGGAGGCGCAACTGCACCCTGCGTGACGGGAGATGTCTCCCGGACCAAGTGGTGACCAAATGGTGGGAATTCTCATATCGCTTTCTTATATATGGTGACTACACCTCAGCTCTCTCCAACAGGAAGAAAAGAGTATTACCTGTAATTGGGGAAATGATTGTAGCTTCTGTAATTAGTGCTAATTAGTTGTGCCATTAAGATAATGAGAGACTGGAGATATAATGTTTACTCGCTACAACAGTGTGACTGGTGGACGCGACTGCCACGGGTACTCACCTGCTCCATACCTCACGCACTGCCTTACCACCCTCTGGCGATAGGGTTATATCCTGGCATGTCCTCAGGGTAGTTGCTGAGGTCCGTATGTTTCTCTAGTGCATCTGAGGGTTAAGCGTTGACTTCGATAGGGGACTATAGGAGGAGTGGGGCTCCCTTCTTACTTAACCCGCAACAGAAGGAGTTGGGGGCATTGTCAGGGTACAGCCGAGATCATCTCTACTTCATTGTTCCTCCCCCCACACCAATAACAATGTTCACCTATATGAACCATAACGTGTTCACCTGTATAAACCACTACATGTTCACCTGTAATATCCAGGAATATGCGCCTGACCGTTCCACTTGATGCTCTCCATCACCCTGTGGCTGGGGGTGTAGGATATGCCCGCTGACAGCCCGTTGTAGGTTTCATTGTTTTCCTGGAAATAAAAACAAATTGTCTTAATAACAAATTGCCAAGTCTGTGTCTGTAGAGTTTATAGCACAGCCCAGCAGTCTTTTATCCTTTTATCAAATTCTAATGACCCACAACTGTGATCCACCTGAAGTGACCCACAGTTGTGATCCACTTCAAATGATACGTAAGTGTGATGCGTGACAAGTAGTCCACATCTAGTAGTCAATATGCCATAACACTGATCAAATGGTTCCGTTCTTGGTCGATCGGCCAGTGGAGCGAGGCTACGTCCGTGGGATTATGCCTGAAAGCCTCTAAGGCAGAATCCCGGCTGGAGAAGCAACGATATCGTGTATCTGTAGATCACAACAGTGATCTACAGAGCTGTGTAGATCGTGTTGTGTAGATCACAACAGTGATCTACAGAGCTCTGGACTCCACTAATTTATCTTATATCAAGATTTATCTTCTTGAAGTTCATTAGTTCCCTAAACACGACCATTCTTACCTTGCAATATGAAAAAAACATTAAAATAAACTACGTATATAAGATAAAAATAATGAAATTCAATGTGTCACGTTATAATGTCCTCAAACTACACACAGAAGCATATGGCATGAGCACACAGTCATAACTATTGATGTTAAAGAAGCAGAATAAAAATGACTTCAGAGGGCAGTGAGATAATCCATATAATTACCAATATTTGGTAGATATGTGGAAAATAATCCACAGCCTCATCTAAATATTGTATGGAGTTTCACATAGTGGACTAACCCTGATGGGCAGTTCAGGACGTCTCACCCTAACGAGCCTAAAATTGCGAAGAATTAAAGCTGGGACTCTACCTTAGTTATAGAGTATTACAATTATTCTAGTTAATACCGTGGCATTTATAAATATTAAAACATATTGGTGAACAATCACTGATTAAATTAAATGAACAAAGTTTCCCGCTCCTACTCGTGAGGGCTGATGGGAGGGGAGGTTATCTTGTGATGATTTCGGGGCTTAGCGTCGCCGTGGCCCGGTCCTCGACCAGGCCTCCTTTTTGTTACACATCCCCAGGAAGAAGCCCGTAGCAGCTGTCCCAGGTACCTATTTACTGCTAGGTAAACAGGGGCATCAAGGTCAATGAAACTTTTTGCCCCATTTGTTTCCGTCTCCATCAGGGATCAAACCTGGAACCTCAGGACTACGAATCCGAAGGGCTGTCCACCCAGCTGTTAGGCGCCCTAACAGAGAGACGGGAAGAGAGAGACGCCATTGTTATCAGCAAGGATCAACAAGACACCAGCTGTGCTCACTATTTTTCTTAGTGTTTCTCTTAATTTCAGGAATTATTAGCTTGCAGGTACAATAAGAGTCAAGAAAATGCAGAATAGAACCAGTGAGGAGCAGAGGTGCCATGGGCACAATCAGAGAACACAGTATGAACATCAGAGGTCCACGGTTGTTCAACGTCCTACCAGCGAGCATCAGAAATATTACAGGAACAACTGTGGACATCTTCAAGAGGAAACTAGATTGTTTCCTCCAAGGAGTGCCGGACCAAGCGGGCTGTGGTGGGTATGTGGGCCTGCGGGCCGCTCCAAGCAACAGCCTGGTGGACCATACTCTCGCAAGTCTGGCCTCGGGCCGGGCTTGGGGAGTAGAAGAACTCCCGGAACCCCATCAACCAGGTATCAACCAGGTACCACCATACAGCACTGTGTGGGGACTCAACTACAAAGTCTCCCAAACCACGGCAGGAGGAAGGAACTTCCGCTTCAATACAGCTCTGTAAAGTACCTCCAGATGTAAGTGTACTATCAACAAAGTCTGATCATAAATCAGCTTTGCCCACTGCCCAATTAATCCTTAAAAAAAGAAGGTCCAAGGTCACCATACGTGGATTATTTGACCAAGGATCCCAAATGTCATTTATCTCCCGATAGTTGGTAGATACCTTGAAACTCAAGTCTGTATGAGAGACAAAAAATAGACATAGCAGGATTCCTGACTAACTCAGGAGTCCGAGTTTTCGAGGTGGTACAACCTAAAGGACATTTAGGCAGTTATGCCCGAATGGTACAGGTTCTTCTTGTAGACAAATTCCCATCAGATCTGTATGTTTATGGTCTAGGAACAACAGCCAAATTCCTGGAAGAAAAGGGAATCAAGTTGACTGACAAAATCATGTCTGTCAACCTCTCCAATATTGGTATCCTTATCGGTTCAGACGTCTACCATAAGTTTATCAAAGGAAAGGATGAAAAACAGGGAATGAATCTGTTAACATCTGCAGGAGGCTATATGCTAACAGGCCCAGTATTACAGCTGAAGCAACCCATACCTGTAGACCACCACCAAGCCAACCCAGTGATGGTTGCATGACTAGGAGAACAGTCACCACTACAATTCAGAGACATGTCCGAGGATGAGCTTGATCCCCCTGTGCATAAATTATGGGATTTAGGAATTCTCGGCATTGTCCCTGAACAACCTAGTCCGGATGATGACTGGACTTAAAACAATACCTGGACTCGGTTGTCTACACAGATAATCAATACTGGGTCAGGTTACCATGGAAGCTGAATCACCCTCAGCTACCTGTCAACCATTTCATGGCACAAAACCAATTAAGGTCACAGGTGATGCACCTACAAAGACATCCCTGAGAACTTGAAATTGTACCATGATATAATCAAGCAACAACTCGATAACAAATTTATTGAAGTTGTAACAAATGATGACCCAAAGGAAGGACACTACCTGCCGCTCCACCCAGTACTGTAAAATTCAGCTACTACCCCAATAAGAATAGTATTTTGTTGACCAGACCACACACTAGAAGGTAAAGCGACGACGACGTTTCGGTCCGTCCTGGACCATTCTCCAGTCGATTGTGGACCAATTCTCCTGGACCATTCTCAAGTCGATTGTGGACCAATTCTCCTGGACCATTCTCAAGTCGATTGTGGACCAATTCTCCTGGACCATTCTCAAGTCGATTGTGGACCAATTCTCCTGGACCATTCTCACAATCGACTTGAGAATGGTCCAGGACGGACCGAAACGTCGTCGTCCCTTCACCTTCTAGTGTGTGGTCTGGTCAACATTCTTCAGCCATATTATTGTGACTCATCACCTGCACAGGATAGTATTTAACTGCAGTGCTAAGACTAAGCAGAATAGTGTTTCATTGAATGACTGCCTTCAAACTGACACTAGCCTGAGACAAAGGCTATACAACGTGCTGTTAAAGTTCGGCATCAGGACTTATGCATACACAGCTGACATCATTAAGGCATTCCTTAGGGTAGGTCTCCAAGAAGAAGAAGACCGTAACTACACCAAGTTCCTATGGATCAAGGATCCTAACGATCCAAACAGTGAAATCATCACTTACAGGTTTGCATCACTTTTGTTTGGCACTACTACTTCTCCGTTTCTGCTTCAAGCTACATAAGAACATAAGAACATAAGAACAAAGGTAACTGCAGAAGGCCTATTGGCCCATACAAGGCAGCTCCTATCTATAACCACCCAATCCCACTCATATACTTGTCCAACCCGCGCTTGAAACAATCGAGGGACCCCACCTCCACCACGTGGATGCTACGTGGTGGGTCCAAGCTACCTTGGACACGCACTTGAAGAAGTATAACAGCCCAAATAAAACTTAAATTAGCAACAACCTGTATGTGGACAATTTCCAAGGAACAACCAGCAGTGAGAGTAAACTGCTGAATATATATGACGAGGCCAATCGAGAATTATTGGGAGCAAATATGCCTATATGTATGCAAATATTACTGCAAATAAGCTCACAGACTTAAGACAACAGTTCTGGCTACCCCAAGGTCGGCAGACTGTAAAATCCATAATTAAATCCTGTGTAATTTGCCGGAGGTATGATGCCAGAGTATGTCCTTATTCTATTTATTTATTTATTTATTTATTTATGCATATACAAGAAGGTACATTGGGAATGTGAGGATACATAATATGGTAATTACAATCTTGTAAAGCCACTAGTACGTGCAGCGTTTCGGGCAGGTAAATTCTTGACCTCCTCCACTCCCAAAGGAACGAGTTGTACATATTTGTCCCTTTGAGACCACAGTAGTAGATTTCACAGGAACACTAACACTGACAGGCACCAAGGACAAAATCCCAGTGAAGGCATTAATCTGCCTATTCACCTGTGTCATAACAAGGGGAGTCCATCTAGAAGTGACTCCTGATATGAGTGCCGAGACATTCTTACAGATTTTCCGCAGGTTTGCTTCATTTAGATCCTGTTCTAAGTTAATGATCTCAGACAATGGGTCCAACTTAGTGGCAGAAGCATGTCTGAGGAAAATTTGGAACCACCCAAAGGTGCTCACTGCACTAAATCAACGGCAGTGCCACTGGAAATTCATACCTCTCAGAGCACCATGGCACAGAAGCTTCAATGAATGCATGACTGGTACAGTGAAAAAGTCTCTACAAAAACTCTACACCGCCAAAAGACTGACCTGCAGGAGCTCCAAACCGTTGCCATAGAAATAGTAGCACGAGTTAACAACCGACCACTTACCTTCCTCTCTGATGATGTTTCGCAATGAGTGAACTATTGAATCCAGCTCATCAGATTTATGGGAGACCTCTCAGAACTCTAATATCCCTTATGGATGAGGAACCAGAAGATCTTTCATATGTCCGAGAGAATGACTTGGTGCAACGTTTCAAACATCTTTCAAGAGTGATAAGTTGGTGGAATGACCTATGGACTCGAGAATACCTTACTGCTCTGAGGGAGTGTCATTACAGGGCAAACAACCCTTATAACAGAATTAACTTGAACACTGGTGACATAGTTCTGATGGACAGCGATGGGCCACGCTCAGAATAGCCAATAGGCCAAATAGTCTGTTCATCCAGACTGTCAGGGCATCTTCAGAATATTGAAAGTAAAATGCCGAGGCAACACTATTCTCAAAACATTAGAGAAATTTATTCCTTTCGAACTGGCAGAAAATGAAGATGTTCAACGACTTCCAGCACCCGAAGTGCCAGCACAGGACATCCGTCCAGAACGGACTGCTGCACGACAATGCAAGTTCAAATTAAAGCAAATCTATAATTCTGAGGGCGAGGAATAAAGTGATCACAGTCCTTAACAGGACTTTGACCCATATACCACCCCCCCGGAATTATGTCAAAAATCGGACACACACATGTTAACATACAATAGTTAGGCCTTAAGAATCAGAGAATGGGAGTTTTGTGACGTCAACAACTCTTAAAATATTAACTCATTTCTTTTAAACCACAGTCTAGTGTTTAAACATAATAAAATAATATTCACTAGGACTGAATATAAATAATTACATCAGAAAATGTTGCCAGACTCCTTTGTTATAGTTAAATAAGCTTTGTCCTTAAGACAACATTAGTGGACAACCCGTTCTCGCAAATTTAATAAGTCAATATTGACTTATTAAATATGTGCATAGGTGACATACTTAACATAATAGTTTCCCTTGAAAAGCTTCATAGAAAACACCGACCTTACCTAACCTACTTAGTATGTTAAGATAAGCATCTTATTGCTTCGTAATTACAATTATTACCTAACCTATAATATGTATAGGTTAAGTAATAATTGTAATTACGAAGCAATAAGATGCTTATCTTAAGATACTAACAAGGTTAGGTAAGGTCGGTGTTTTCTATGAATCTTTTTAAGGGGTTTCTATTATGTTTAGTATATCACCTATGCACGTAGTTAATAAGTCAATATTGACTTTACGAATTTGCGAGAACGGGTTGTAGTGGAATGCCACCCCACAGCAGGGAGGCCAGTCACGTACACACAGAATGTAAACAGAGGAACACGAGGCAGAGAGGGTTCCATACGAGCAAGCACAACTCTTCATAGACTCCCCAAACACGAGTCAACCAACCGAGTAACTGCCACATCAACCTCTACAACAACAGGAATACCTGAGTATTCATCTTACCAAGTATCTATTACATGTTTTTGGCCATTTACCGTTTTAGATAAGTCTGGCGGTTATACTGCGAGCTTGAAGCTCAACAAAGTAAGTTTACACAGCATTACACACACGCAATATTCATGTCACACCTGTACTTTATGTTAATGTGCCATTACTAATGTCCTTCATTTGATAGGTAAATTGTGATTTGGAGTTACAGAGAAGATAAGCTGGCCCACATAAACAGTAAAGTTTCTTCCTACCCTAACTGTACACAGACGCCACTGTGCTAGGCTGCCATTACAAGGCCCTGGACCACATGTGCCATACCCTAACAGATGTTAGCTGAAACATATACAGCCTAATTAAACCATAACACAGCTAAGGATATAATAATCTTTATTACTAAAGTAGATAGAGTAATACTAATACTGTAGATTAGGCCACCATAGGTAGTATAATTTATATTCTGCAAGAGGTAAACAATTGTAGTTTATAATATATCCACTCAGAGGTGGTATAAGTTATAATTGTCCCTCCAAACTATGTGCAGATACGTTCTGGCAGACTGAATCAAATATACTGTCCACTTAGCATCATCATAATTCAATACTGAAGTTAACAAAAATATATAATAAAAATAAATAAATGCCTGCTAGGATTTTCCCACAGGTCGCACCATGTATCACCCTGTCCGATTCCTGGACTCTGTTACTTCGTCGTCTGGAGAGGGTAAGGAGTACTGCAGTGACTTCAGTAATCCCTACAACATGGCTGAGATCAGGAAAAATGGCAGAGGAGCTGGAGAGAGACAACTGACCGGCCAGGGGGCTACGAGCAGATAAACACCCCATTAACCCTAGCGGCCTCGACGAGTACAGGAAGCCGGCGGCTTGTCGAAGGTCCCTCCCATTTTCCTTGATATGTGTGATAATAAGTGACTTGCGTTTGCTTAATTAATCCTTGCCTGGTGGATATTAGAACACTAAACCCTTATATATTATTACAGGAATGAAATGAATCACCAAATTTTCTTACCTTACTGAGAGGTGAGTAATTAGTGCAGTTGTCTTTACTGAAACAATGTTTAAACTGGAGAGTCACACGAGGCTTGGGAAACCCGCTGGACGTACAGGTCATTTGGAACTTTGCGCCTTTCTTCAGCATCTCGTCTAAGTTGGACGACTTCAGTTTCACTTGGCCGGGCTTAACTGTTACAAAATACGTTAAATTATAATAAAAAAATACTTTACGTTTTATACAAAGTTACAATGACATGTCCAAACAAACACATATACCTACATCTGCGTCAACATTCCACTGTTCTCGTCACCAGAGGGGCCAGATTCACGAAAGCACTTACGAACCTGTACATCTTTTCTCAATCTTTGGCGGCTTTGTTTCCAATTATTAAACAGTTAATGAGCTCCGAAGCACCAGGAGGCTGTTTATAACAATAACAACAGTTGAATGGGAAGTTTTCATGCTCGTAAACTGTTTAATAAATGTAACCAAAGCCGTCAAAGATTGAGGAAAGATGTACTCGTTCGTAAGTACTTGCGTAAGTGCTTTCGTGAATCTGGTCAGAGCTCCAAGAAATAATTTCATGGTGAAAATGAGAGTTCCACGAGTCCCGTGAGTAATGTCTCGGGAAGCATCAACACACAGATCAAAAGTAGGCAGTAAAGAGCAACAAATAGTGAAAAAGGGGAGATATGTTTTTTAAATAGAAAAGTAAAGGTCGAGACAGTAACAAAAATTTAGTGAACGTGATAAATACATTATAGAAAAGTGCCAAACAAATATGTCAATATTTGTTTTCAAATAGATAAGGGATGATAAGAAATTATAAATATAAAAATATTTTAGTGAGGAAGAGTCTCATGGGACAAACGAGATCCAAAACAAAAAAGTGTCCGTGATTGTAGATAGTTATCAAAACATAAGGATTGATACTTTGGGTTTTACTAAAAAAAACTAGTGGCGTACTAGTGGCTTTACAAGATTGTAATTACCATATTATGTATCCTCACATTCCCAATGTACCTTCTTGTATATGCATAAATAAATAAAAAAAGAAATAAGCAAAATAGCCATCCTTGGCAGGTTAGTGGAAATAGAAAGTCTGTTAAACTTTCATACACAAAACATCTAACATTGGGAGAAGAAAACGAAGGTATGGAATATGCCAGGAATGGAAACAAGTTTAGAAAAATCGTCAGTCTCAACCTGACGAATACACTAATAACAAACAGGAGAGTCTAATTAAGACCTTAATGATGGAAAACCGAGACTTGAAAAAAAGGGAAATGCCTGAAAAAGGAAAACAAAAAATGGAAAAAAAAACTGAAGAGGTTGGGGTGAATTCACAATCTAGCCAATACGAAAGGTTAGGTAAAGATACAGAGGGAAAGAATTTATGAGCAGTGCCTGATGAAGGAGGTTACTAGGGGGATAGGAAACTGGGGGCATTAAGAAGAAACATATCAGAGGAAGACAGAAAAACTGAAATGGAGCCTCAATGAAGCAAAACGTTAAATTCGAGCAAAAATAAGGAAGAATTTTTTTCTGGTAGTGAAATGAAGCCTAACACAGCCGCCAGTGCTACTAATAGGAGAGGCAGGAAAAGAAAACAGGAAGAAACATGTTCCTAAAACAAAAGAATGCAAAAATCAATGGAGTGAGATGAAACAGACACTAGAGTTGAAGGATGCAGTGCAGCTGAAAATTACTGATATTATTAATCTGGCAGAATTGAAATTTGAAGCTGTTTGAAATGAGGTGGTGTTCCAGCGAGGATACTCAATTTAGAGGCGTGACAGAAGAAATAGAAAATGTGGAAGTGTCGCTGTACGAGTGAAACTATATACATATGAAACAACTACAGACGGCGGGGTGGGGGTAGCCCGGAAACACTTAGGTCTCTCTCTCTCTCTCTCTCTCTCTCTCTCTCTCTCTCTCTCTCTCTCTCTCTCTCTCTCTCTCTCTCTCTCTCTCTCTCTCTCTCTCTCTCTCTCTCTCTCTCTCTCTCTCTCTCTCTCTCTCTCTCTCTCTCTCTCTCTCTCTCTCTCTCTCTCTCTCTCTCTCTCTCTCTCTCTCTCTCTCTCTCTCTCTCTCTCTCTCTCTCTCTCTCTTCCCTATTTTCTCTCACAAACTCCTTCGTCTAGCATCTTTCTTTCCCTACCCCCCCTTTTTTCCCCATCTCCCTCCCCCTCTCTCTCATTCTCCCTAACATCCCCTTCCCTCTCTCGCCTGTCTCCTCTCCACCTGCCCCACTCCCCTCTCTCCTCACTTATCGTTCATTCCCTATCCTCCCATCTATCCCCTCCCTAACTTTATCCCCCTTTCCCCCCTCCCCAACTTTATCACCTCCCCCTTCTTTCTCCCTCCACACTGTCACCTAGCATCCCTTCCTCGCACACTTCTCGCTTCCCTCCCCTTCACCATCTCTTCCAACCTCCTCTCTCTGACTCATTCCACTTCTCTACCCCCTCTACTCTCCTCCTCTCTCTTCAAACATCCCCCACTACTCCCTTCTCCTTCTGTCTGCATCTCTGTCTGTTTGTCTCTCTATCTCAGTTTGTTTGCCTCTGTGTGTGGTTGTGTGTTTATCAGTCTTCCTGTCTCTCTCTCTTCTCTGGTCACTATCATTCTGCCTCTGTTTCTGTCTCTCTTTGCTCTGATCTTTATATATCTGTGTGCCTATGTCTCTGTCTCTCTGTTTCTTATTCTGTATCAACCTGTCTTTCTCACATTGTCTCTGTTTCAAATTGTCTGTCTGTCTTTTCACTAATTTTTCTGTCTGTTCCTCACTCATAAAAATAATATAATAGTTTCCCATTGACTGGTCCGCTGATTGGAGGAGCCTAGCTATGTGAAAGATTATTTATTTATATATATATATATATATATATATATATATATATATATATATATATATATATATATATATATATATATATATATGTCGTACCTAGTAGCCAGAACTCACTTTTTGGCCTACTATTCAAGGCCCGATTCGCCTAATAAGCCAAGTTTTCCTGAATTAATATATTTTTTCTAATTTTTTTCTTACGAAATGATAAAGCTACCCATTTCATTATGTATGAGGTCAATTTTTTTTTATTGGAGTTAAAATTAACGTAGATATATGACCGAACCTAACCAACCCTACCTAACCTAACCTATCTTTATAGGTTAGGTTAGGTAGCCGGAAAAGTTAGGTTAGGTTAGGTAGTCGAAAAAGCATTAATTCATGAAAACTTGGCTTATTAGGCAAATCGGGCCTTGCATAGTAGGCTGAGAAGTGCGTTCTGGCTACTAGGTACAACATATATATATATATATATATATATATATATATATATATATATATATGCATGCGAACAAGCCTGAATGGTCCCCAGGCATATATGCAACTGAAAATTCCACACCAGAGAAGTGACTCGAACCCTTATTGCCAGGAGCACTATGCAACTAGTGTACAGGAGACCTTAACCGCTCGACCATCACGACTGTACAAAAGATGATGGTAGCCGAGGCTATTTGCCCATCATCCCGACGGCGCTATGATCGTAATCTTGGGCATGGTATTTCATCAAATCACTTCATTTTTTGGGGCCAAGTGAGCAACAAAAATTGTGTGTAAAGAGGTTTCGAAGATTTCCTTCACATGAAAAACACAGGAAAAACACAGTTTTTCAGAAAAAAAGTTTTTTTTTTCACTGGCACAGACGTGACATCTATATAGTATGTAAATAAAAACCCGCTTGGATGGGAATGGAACGTTGTGTGAAAATTTCAAAGCAATCGGTGAAAAACTTTCGGAGATTTATCGGTCATGCACAAACGAACATTTCCATTTATATCTATGTAGATTGCTCAATGTTTCGAACCTTCATGGTTCATCCTCAAGTGACAAGAAAATACAAGGTGTGTTAGATTTATACCAGTATGGGGGGTCGGGTGAAGACAAGAAGTTCGGAATAAAGGCAAGGGGAAAAAAAGGCGAAAATAGGGGATGAAGCACATTCAAAGATTCATCACGTGTAATAGGCCTATTATGTTGAGCAGTGTGTGTTCCATGTTGGCATCTCTTATGTTCCAGTGTTGTTCTAACTCTCATGGTGGGTAGAGTGAATAGTTCCATAATAAGCAGTCTCCGTGGTGTAGTGGTAAGAGCAGTCTCCGTGGTGTAGTGGTAAGACACTCGCCTGGCGTTCCGCGAGCGCTATGTCATGGGTTCGTATCCTGGCCGGGGAGGATTTACTGGGCGCAATTCCTTAACTGTAGCTTCTGTTTAACGCAACAGTAAAATGTGTACTTGGTTGTAACAACGATTCTTCGCGGCGGGGGATCGTATTCCAGGGACCATAGGATTAAGGACTTGCCCGAAACGCTACGCGTGCCAGTGGCTGTACAAGAATGTAACAACTCTTGTATATATAAAAAAAAAAAAAAAAAAAAAAAAAATGGGTATTTATGGTAGGTTGTTCTATTTTTATGTGGATTGCTTCAAGAATTTGTAATCTTCTTACACCTTGGGTTTTGTCTATTATACAAGTGTTTTTATTCAACATTTCTCTTGTTAGGGTGATGTCATGGGCTTGTCTCATGTGATTTCTGGTGGTACCCCCAGAAATCAGCTGTTAGGCCGCCCCCCCCCCCCCAGACGGCCTAACAGCTGACTAGACAGCGCTTCGGATTCGTAGTCCTGAGGTTCCGGGTTCGATCCCCGGTGGAGACGGAAACAAATGGGGAGTTTCTTTCACCCTAATGCACCTGTCCACCTAGCAGTAAACAGTTACCTGGGAGTTAGACAGCTGCTATGGGCTGCTTCCTGGGGGTGTGTAACAAAAAAGGAGGCTTGGACGAGGTAGGTAATCTTGAATCCATGCTAGCATATTTCCCTTTACACCTTTTTTAACTAAGGTGTGTAAAATTGCTTGCGGGCTTGCAAGTTCGAATGCTTTTTCTAGATCAAGGAAGATCACTATTGCTGGACCTGAGTTAACTGTTCCTAGTAATGTTGCTATGCAGTTGGCAGTACCTACTCCTCTAGTGAAGCCAAATATGTGTTTATGAAGGTCTCCAGTCTTCCACAGTAGCCTATTTAAGACCATACGTTCTGCAGTTTTACTAATGCATGATGTTAATGAAATGGGTCTGTAATTGCCATGTTCTTTCGGCTTAGGAATCGGTATGATGTCTGCTTTCTTCCAAGAGGTCGGTAGTTTGCCTTGCTGCCAAGATACATTGATGACGTCCAATATTCCTTGTTCTCCAGCAGGACCTGCGTGTGCGATCATTGAGTATGTAATGTTATCAGCACCTGGTGCAGTGTCCTTACCACCCCTTTTGGCTCTGATTAGTTCTTGTTTGGTGAAGGGACAGTCACATTCGTCATTTATAGCTATGCTCTCATGAATGACTGTCAACCTATCTTGTTTTAATTGTTCTTGTTGCCTTCTGATCATTGCAGGAAGCTGATATGAAGCTGCTCGTTCTGCAAATTGGAGAGCAAGTCTCTCAGCCTCCTGCAATGGTTGAATACATGCCTGTGGTCGGGCTGGTCGACCTGATATAGTTTTAATCTGACCCCATATCTTGTCAAGACTACTATGTTCATTTAGAGTTTGGCACCGCTCAAACCATCTTGCCTCCTTTACTTCTCTAGAAACTCGTCTTGCTTCAGATATCACTTCTCTTCCTATTGTGAAAATATATTAATTGAACATTCAGATATCACCGCTCTTAGCAGAGTTCTTCCTTCAGGTGAGGGGTTTCTCTTTAGATGTTTTCTGAAGTAGTTGACTCTGTGACTAACTTTATTACTATAGAACCAATAGTTATTTCGTTTTGTGTTTCCTGGGATAATGATTGGAATAGCTTTATATGCCGCAGTTGCAATGGCTTCCTGTAGATTGGTCTCGAGTATATGTTCAAATCCTCAGGTGGCGTGTATGTTGCATACTATTTTTCAAGTTCCTTTTGGTATATATTCCAGTTGGCTTTTTTAAAATTCCACCTGGGTTATGCAGGTGGTGTAGGAGGTCGTTCTATGTTTAGTGTCGTGACAGTAGCATAGTGGTCACTGGTGATCACCGGGTCTACTTCCCACTTCGCCTGATGCTTGAGTGCTGTTGAGATGAATGTAAGATCAATGGAACACCCTTGAATGTGAGTGGGTTCCCCAGTGTTAAGAAGTGTAATTTCAGGTACTTCTCGCAGAGCTGCAGCTAAATGGCGCCCATCTGCATTGGCTGGCCCAGTCGCACCTAACTCTTGATGATGAGCATTAAAATCCCCAGCAATAATTACATTTTCCTGCGTGGCCAAGGCAAGCACTGTCTCTGCTTCTAGTTTACGTCTAGAGGACTTGCAAACGTTGTATGTGAGGAGCTCAATATTAGCCATATTCACTGTTACTACTAATACCTCTACTCCATCCCTACATGTAACTGGGTCTATTTTCTTGCTGGGTATGGTGTTCCTGACTAGGGTCATTAATCCTCTTTGTCTCCCCTGCTCATACGGTATAACATAGTGCTGATATCCAGCTAATCTGCAGGACTTCGTGGCTGGGAAAAAGTGTTTCTTCCAACACGATTATATCTGCTTTCATACTAATTGCAGCTTCCTGAAGGGTATGGTTTTTATTTCCAAGACCTTGTATGTCCCACTGCAGTATTCGTAATGGCCAGACGACATTTCGGTTGGTGTTGTCTGTGCTAGTGGAACTCCTCTTCGGAATCGACCTCTATATTTTCCACTTCGTAAGTCGTGTCGCTGGAAATCGAACTGCACTGATTGCTCATGGTCATCCCCGGCATTGTTGGAGTCTCTGCATAACTGTGGTCCATCGCTTTGCTGTTGATATTGCTGCACATCGGACTGCATTGATTGTTCGTGTCCGTTTCTTGTGTTGTCGGAGTCTCTGCATCTCTGCCATCCAGTATTTTGTTGTTGATGTTGCTGCTTATTGGGCAGTATTTATTGTTCATGCACGCCTCTTTGTGTTGTTGGAACATGTGCATCTCTGCTGTTCAATACTTTGTTGGTGTTGTTGCATATCAGACTGCACTGGCTGTTGACGTCTGTCTCTTGTGTGGTAAGATTCTGTTGATCTTGGGTGGTCACTGCTTCTTGCAGTTGCTTTTGTGAATGTTGATGTTCTGGTGTCTTGACTACCCGACTGTTGTTGGCAGTGTGTATGTCCATGTTGCGTTGTTTGTCCTCTTGTGCTTCATCTTGTCTCAGACTGTCTGTGTCTTGTGTAACTGTGGTCTGCTGCACCATCTTGTCCATTATCACACAAGTGATGTATTGAGTCTGTTGTTGTGAGGCGTTCTGCGTCACCTGTAGGCAATTGATAATGGTCTCTGCCATGATCTTCACCATGTTTTTCAGCTGGACCTCGGTGGTAAAACTGTATATCTGTTGTGTTGATATCAAAAGTAATTGTGTTTTGCTCTTTTTGTTTTTGTTGTATTTCCGTAGCATTTTTGTGTATTCTCTCATTTGGAGTTTGGAGATTCAGGAAATTTTGCTCTGTGAGAGTGGGTGTATGTTGTGGTTGTGCACGAGTGTTCCAGGCGTTGGTGTTGGTGTATGTAGTGCTGGTCTGTGCGTTTATCTTGCCCTGAGCTGTCAGCACCTTTTCTTTCCGAGCAAAGCAGGTTGTGCTCCAGGCATGATGTTTGACTCCGCAATATGGACATTTGTGGTCTGGTTTGCCTTGTGCTTGGCTATACAGTCTTTGGTTGGATGTCTCAGGCTGCACACTCCGCATCTCTCCTGTCCGGTGCAGCGTGATTGATGGTGGCCGTATTTCTGACACCTGAAGCAGTGCAGGGGTTCCGGGACGTATGGTTTCTGTCGGTATGTTCCCAATTTCCAAGACTGAATGTTTCTGGCACATGTCCCATGACGGTCACCAGAACCTGACGTGTCACTGCCTTATCTACTTTTGTGCGGCATCGTTCCGCATTCAGGATTTGCTTGTGTTCTAGTACTGGATCCAGTGGAAAGTCGATTGGGTATCCCAAAAGCATGACTCGTGTGCGTCTTTCTGAAGGGTGCAGCTTTTCCAAGCATACAGGTTTCCCTTGCAGGACTCTTACTTTTTCTAAGTAATTTGCAGTCTGTTGGTCTTGTGGTGTCATTATTATTTCTCCTTTCAGGTTGACTGTAATGGAAAGTCTGAGCTCTGGTTGTTCTTTTTCCATTGCCGTTACTACTCCATATGCTGTAGGAAAGTGGTCTGTCTGCATTATCTTGAATTTTGGAAGATGTGCAGAGTCTGGCGATGTCTGGTGTGAGACTGGTGCTGTCCTCTCCTGTCTCATACTGTCGTCTTGTGGCTGTGTTGTGGACAGAGAAGCATTGTCTGAAACTGGCTGGTGTGTGACTGATGCTGTTCTCTTTAAGTCCATTATGTCTGGTGTCTAACAGGTACCTTATCTGGAATCTTACTTACAGGCACGTGGTGAAGCCTCGATAGCAGTGTTCGTCGGAGCCTCCTGCACCTCGGTCCACTGTTCCTCCTCATCTGAAAGCTGCCTCCACTGCCTCTCTCTCTTTGACTTCACCATGACGTCTCCACATAGTGAGAACTGATTCACTGCCCTACCTAATGCCCGAGACACTCCTAGGCCTGGAGAAATTCATGCCCCTCCAACAGAAGTCGTAAAATGATTCCCCCAGATGGAATCAGGGATACCTAACACCTAATTGAGCTGTTTGGTCTTCCTTTCCCTGAAAGGGTTCAGTACACCTTCTAAGGTGCCCACTTGTGGCGATGCCCGAAGGTTATCGCCTCGCCCTTCAGGGTTGGATTCGAAGTGATCTGGTCCCCACAAAAAAAAATAAAACATTGGTCATGGGCGACGAGTGCTGTACGACAGTTTGGTCACCTGCGTACTGGGTTGCACAGAATACTGGACAGCAGATAATCAACAACGTTGCTTGTCCATCAATTGTAGACGAAATCGGTATTGTTTCCTTCCAAGCATGATATTATCTGCGTCTTGGAGTATTGATGCGCTCTTCCTCACAAAACCGCGATGATTTGAGCTGATGGATGCTCAGAATCTTAAGTTTCCACGAAACAAAACTGTGTGTGGCCAGCTAGCAATAACGCCGGCAGCGAGTCTATGCGCACACTAATATTGTTTACATCTATCAAGCTACATGTGCATACTAATGTTGTTTACATTCATCAAGACATGTGCATGCTAATCTTGTTTACATCCATCAAGCCCACATGCATACTAATCAATTCATATCTCAGTTTAAAACATTAAAGAACTATTTATACTAGCCGTACCCAGTCACGGGTTGCTGAGGCTCAGTCTGGTTAAATGGAAAAGAAAGAAAAGAGAAAGCACACGTTTCTAATACGTTTAATTTCACAATGCTTGTGGGTATGCAATGTTTTTTCTTGTTCCTTGTCTGTGGAGATATAGAGATTGTCTGGTTTGCTGACTCTAGAACTAACGACCCATCCCCCCGTCCCCCCGAACATCCCCCCTCCCCCATCCCCTCGTCCTTCCAACCATTTCCCCTTTCTCTGTCCCCCTCGTCCTCCCCACCATCCCTCACTCCCCCACCCCCCTCGTCCTCCCCACCATTCCCCCACTTCCCCCTCCTCCCCACTCCCCCATTCCTTCGTATTCCCCACCTGTCCCCCCCTCCCGTCCCCTTGTCCTCCCCACCATTCCCTCCCTGCCCCGTCCCCTCGTCCTCCCCTGCCCCGTCCCCTCGTCCTCCCCACCACATTCCCTCACTTGAAAAACTTTTTTTAAGCATATTTTTACCTGTCACAGGTGTGACATGTATACAGTAGGTATATAAAAACACGCGCATATTCAAATGGAACGTTGTGTCAAAGTTTCAAAGTAATCAGTGAACAACTTTCTGAGATTTAAGAGTTTGAACAAATGAACATTTTCGTTTATATAGATAATGAAAAAGTGAAATGAGAAGACTAACCTGGTGGGGTGAAGTACATTGTTATGTTGTCTGAGGCAGCTACTGTGTTGTTGTTGATGACCTTGGCCACCAGGGTGTACTGGCCGATGTCCTCCACAGTGGGGGCGTCAATGGTCAGTGTCAAGATGCCGTCTTCGACAATCGCATCGTGTTTGTAGCGCTTGTTTCCCGTAGGTTTGGTCGAGTCCAGCACCTCAACACCTGAAAACAACAATTAACGTTAATTTATTTCATGCGCTCGTGTGTCTGCAGAGGTCGAGCTCCATCTCTCTAACTTCCGACTCTTAGCTGTTATCTTGGTGATTTCGGGGCTTTTAGTGTCCCCGTGGCCCGGTCCTCGACCAGGCCTCCACCCCCAGGAAGCAGCCCGTGACAGCTGACTAACACCCAGGTACCTATATTACTGCTAGGTAACAGGGGCATAGGATGAAAGAAACTCTGCCCATTGTTTCTCGCCGGCGCCCGGGATCGAACTCGGGACCACAGGATCACAAGTCCAGCGTGCTGTCCGCTCGGCCGACCGGCTCCCCTGTGTCGCATGGACCCTTGGGGTTACTGAAGGATAAACTATCATCTTCCTTTAACCATTCTCTTCCACCCACCACAATATCGCTGACCTGAACGCCCTATGCATGCACTCCTGTTTTGTCTCTCCATTTAATTGTCAACCACATGTAATATGGCATGAAAATGAGATTCCCAATTAATGGTGTATTATCCAATTTGTTCCAGGAAACAATTGAAATTGGACTGTTCTTCAGACTTGGCTCCAGTCTTGCTATAATTTTAGAAATAGGTTCAGAGACGTAGAACATACAATAAAATTTATTTAAAAACGAGAGATGATTTTTTTCTTTTTACAGACACTTATAACCTTATAAGTTTGACACACATTCAAGTACAAAGTCAAGAGGAAGCTTAGCTACACACGATTGATTACCATCGCCGCTCCAAGCAACAGCCTGGTGGACCAAACTCTCACAAGTCAAGCCCGGCCTCGGGCCGGGCTTGGGGAGTAGAAGAGCTCCCAGAACCCCATCAACCAGGTATCAACCAGCTACGGAGAGACCAGCTTCATCTTGCCTGTGATAATAGGACAAACAACGAGGTACACTGAGAGCATTGTTTCTCCAGCCATTACGGATTTGTTACTAGTAGTTCCTTGAAATTTATCGTCATAATCCTTTCTAAACTTGTGTCCCATGCATTTCATTGGGGAATAAGGAAATAAATAAGGGAAATGTTGCAACCCGTTCTTGCACTTTCGTACAGTCAATATTGACTTATTAAATAAGTGCATATGTGACATACTAATTTATTGTGAATATTTTAGTTTACCTTGAAAAGCTTCATAGAAAATACCGACCTTACCTAACCTTCTTAGTATGTTAAGATAAGCATCTTATTGCTTCGTAATTACAATTATTACTTAACCTATACCTATAATAGGTTAAGTAATAATTGTAATTAAGAAGCAATAAGATGCTTATCTTAACATACTAAGAAGGTTAGGTAAGGTCGGTGTTTTCTATGAAGCTTTTCATGGTAAACTAAAATATTCACAATAAATTAGTATGTCACATAAGCACTTATTTAATAAGTCAATATTGACTGTACGAAAGTGCGAGAACGGGTGGCATATACACACCACAGAAACTGAACTAAGAACAACAAGGTGACCGGGGTATAACATCTTCAGTGTAGCACCTGTGACAAAGTAAACACCCGCACGTTTCCGTGCGTTTCCCGCACGAGGCAGAAACAAATGGGCAAAGTTTCTTTCACCCTAAGTGCCCCTGTTACCTAGCAGTAAATAGGTACCTGGGAGTTAGTCAGCTGTCACGGGCTGCTTCCTGGGGTGTGTGTGTGGGGTGTGGAAGAAGAAGAAAGAAAAAAAAATAGTAGTTAGTAAACAGTTGATTGACCTGAGCAACACCTCATGATTTTCATGAACGCTAAATTCATCATCGAACAAGAAAAAAAATCATGCTAAAAGACTTCATAGAATCTGAAGCCATTAAACACAAACAATACCATCGAACACAATTAATGAGCGACTATGAACGGAATAGTTATGTACAGATTCCAGGAGCCAATTACAATAGGGAGTCGGTCGGCCGAGCGGACAGCACGGTGGGTTTGTAATCCTGTGGTCCCGGGTTCGATTCCGGGCGCCGGCGAGAAACAATGGGCAGGGTTTCTTTCACCCTATGCCCCTGTTACCTAGCAGTAAAATAGGTACCTGGGTGTTAGTCAGCTGTCACAAGCTGCTTCCTGGGGGTGGAGGCCTGGTCGAGGACCGGGCCGCGGGGACACTAAAAAAAAAAAAGCCCCAAAATCATCTCAAGATAACCTAGCCATCTCTCAGCCCAATAAGAACAACGGAAGAAATTGTAATTGGTTCTACACAAATGCCAGAAGCCCGGTGAAAAGCTCTGATGCATTGTGTGTGTTATATATGGTTGAGTCTGCTTTGGGGGATCTAATATTAATTTAGAGTAGGGTCGGAAGTTAGCATCAAGGTGTAACCAAAGTAATAGATCTTAAAGGCCCGGCCGTATATGCTGAAGCCGATAATCCTGACATCATTGGCATCAGTGAAACATGGAGACGAGAGAATTATTGAAGGATAACTCCACCTCCTGGGATACGACCCACCATTCAGAAACAACAGAAAAACAAGAACAGGTGGTGCAATGCTTCATGTGAAACAGGACCTGGATGCAACTATCAATGACGAATTGAACACCATGGGATCCTCAGAGTTTGTCTAGTGCAACATCCTACCTTAAGGTTACCTTGAGGTGCTTCCGGGGCTTAGCGTCCCCGCGGCCCGGTCGTCGACCAGGCCTCCTGGTTGCTGGACTGATCAACCAGGCTTCAAGATAGTGATAAACTGACAGTGGGAGTATGCTACAGGGATGACACAGCATCAACAGAGAAAGTTACTGAGCTGCATAATGTGATGAATGTTACATCACAAACCCAAACTCTTATAATGGGGGACGTTGACCACAAGACGTATAACCCCATATTGGGGAAATTTAACATCACAAGCAGAAGGAAATCAATTTCTAGACCTGGTGCAGGACTCCTTTTTCGCAGCGTGTGGTAGAGGCCACATGAGGTAACATCAAATTGGACCTTGTGTTAACATCAGAAGATAGCATGATTGATTAAATTCAAGTGGAGGAAAAGATCACCCTAACGTGTGATCACAATATTCTAAGATGGAATACAATTACAGAAACTCTCGTAAAGGTCCAGGATGATGACCTTCTAGATTACCACTGAGGGAACAATCAGGGAATGAGAGAGGAATTACAAAACACCTCATAGAGGGAACTGATAGGTGATCATGGCATGGAAACATTATGGGGGAAATTTCAAAAAGGTCATTACTGAACTCGTACAAAGATATGCGCCAAAAAGGAGAAAGAAGAGAAAGGGAACAAGATGGATGACACAAGTAGTAACAAGAGAGCTAACAACTAAAGGGAACCTCTGGAGACGGTATAAATCCACGATGAACATCATGGATTATGAGATATATAAAAGGGCATTAAATTCAGTCACCCAGGAAATCAGATTAGCCAAAAGAAACTACGAAAGAAAACTTGCCCAAAACAAAGTAAGATCCAAAATCATACTATGCATATAAACGAAGTAAACCCAACACAAAGGACTCTGTAGGACTCCTAAAAAATGAGACTAACAAAGTTATACTGATGATAAAAGGGCAGCAAACACTGAATACTTTATGTGCTGACCTTCTAGTAAAAATCAAGTAGTCGTTCAATTGTACAAGTGTCTGGAGCGCCCTCAGCTTGATTATTGCAGCCAGGCATAAAGACCTCATCTTCAGAAACACAGCTGTTCTGGAGATGGTGCAACACCGGACAACAAAAATCATCCCAGAGCTTAGTCATCTCTCTTATCAGGAACGGTTGAGGGCCACAGGGCTGACAACACTACAGACCAGACATGACAGGGCGGATCTCATCAAAACCTTTAAAATGCTAAACAATTTGGAGGATGTCGATCCCGACAATTTCTTTAAAAGGTCAGATGTAACATGAACGAGGAGCAACGGGTTCAAGCTCAACAAGCCACAATGTAGGACAGAAAACAGAAGATGCCTTTTCACCCATAAGGTTGTAAATCCGTGGAACCGCCTACCCGCCGAAGCCGTAAACGCCAAAACTCTGCTGGGTTTTAAAATACAACTGGAGATCATCAGGGCAAATAGGGGGGACCTTTGACAAACCGCCGGCTTTCTGTCCTCGCCACTAATATTAGTGGCCCTCAAGTAACTTCAGGTAAATACACATTAACTGTAGAGTATGCCTGGAGTATAATACTTGTTAAAGTAGATAGATGGCCAAGGCTTAAAGAATATTTGAGGCACCCTGAGGTAAATTTCCGAAGAGTCAACACAGCATGACCTCCCTGTGTCCATTTCAGTTACCAACTGAATTCACGTTCCTATGGTGTCTCAGAGTAGCCTAAATAATCGGACCGTAACAGTCTACTGTGACTCATTTGACCACCAGTCTCAACATAGTTATTCCATATTTAATGTACCCTTCTGCCTGTTTATTTATTCATTAATTTACACATTACCTTTTCTCAAAACTAGCCCGGACATACGACAATAATCTCTTATACGTCTGGCAGCAATACACACACAACTGCCTCCAGACTCAATGTATTTTTTAATATGTTTGCAACAATTTCCGTTTCACTGTTATGACCACTCAGGTCATAATAGTGACATGACGAAGAAACTCCGTAGGAGCAGTGATGAGGGTTCGAACCCATGCAGTGGTTGTTCCCTATGCACACGCAAGTTCAAGTATGTTTATTGAGATAAGCAATAAATACATCTCAAAGGGATAGAGTAGCTTAGGTTATTTCTATCCCCCCTGTTATGCACACGCTTCTAGGGACCACACCACTATGCAATTTTTATATACCATGTCGTGGTCTAGTCGCTAGAGCGTGTGCGTGGGAACACCCGGCCGCTGCATGGGGTTCGAACCCTCATCACTGCTCCTACTGATTTTCTCATTGATACAGCCACGTTAGTGTGGTTACTCTCTGTGTAGCCTCATGACCATTAACATGGAGGAGCTCAGTATATTGTTGAGCTTTTCGAACTGCAGGTTTGGTTGATATATATTTTTTTTCTTTCCTAACTG